GCTTATAGTCCGAAAATTACGGTAATCCATTAGTTTAGTAATGCCGGCAGCTTTCTTGCTTATTAACAGGGAATCTACACAGGCTCAAATTCAAACTGACTTGCTTAGTGTCATTTAGTTGTTGCTGTACATCTTCCCTGCAACACATATCACAATGCATGTATCCTGGGACACAAGCCTTTTCTCTATTGAGTTCCAGGTTTTCAATACCTGTGCAGAAACCCTGCAATAAGCTGCAACATGTGATACCAGCAGGGTCAAGAGAGGAGGTGAGGGGTGAGTACTAACAGAGGAGGGGGGCTTGGGAGACGAAGGGCAGGAGTCAGAGTCTGGAGTGGAGGGCTTTGGGCTCAGAGGAGCGTCCTGGTGAAGAGAAAGGGATACAAAATAAAACACACTGTCACATGGGCGAACAACAGAAGGTTAATGAGAAGACGATGAGAGGTTAGGAAGACACAAACAGCTGAACGAGTGTGATGGCAATTAGAGGGAGATTATGATTCTGCCTGAGAGATGTCCAGGAGACACGGGTGGATTATTAATTAGCCGTGGAGGCAGGGATTTATCACAACACTGCGAGACTTCATCTTCAGCATTTTCTATTTTGAAGACAAATCATTTGAGGGCGATGATTGAATATTCAGTTTCTTGGTGAAATTATTCAAATCAGTGAATCAGGCCAAAAACAATTTGACGTAAAGATGGAGATAATTACTCCTGCTGTGTGATTATTATCATGCACGCTGATTGTCTGCTTGGATTAGAGCACACTGATTGGTCGGTTGGCAGGCTACTGACTTGGTGTTTGTACGGGTGCTGGCGGGCAGAGCCTGAGCGGAAACGCCGGGTTTTTATCAGCCGCTGCAAAGCAACCAGTCTACAACTGAGACTCTGGGGTGACGTAATAATACATCTCACCAGTACACACATCAAATACAAACTATACATCTGAACAGTCCAGGAAGGAGTTATCAACCTAGAACCGTAGAGGACATTTTGCCTGGAGATATATATTTTTAGCTAGCGGTTGAATTGAATATGAATCAGTTTTGGGGTCAGACCTTGTCGTTGGGGTCTTGGACGTAGGCGCTGTGTCTCCACTTGGTGAGGACGATGGGCTCGACGCTTCTCCGGTCCAGACTCCGACTCTTGGGAGCGTCTCCAGGCAGGGGGAGGGAGTGGTTCAACTGCAGGGGGGAAACAGGCCATCATACTGTATTATTATATCACTAACCTTTAATTAATGCATACCAGGACTTTTTAAAGGTCCCCTATTATACTGTTTTCCATCAATATATTATAGGTCTCAGATATATACAAACATGTCTCTGAGGTGTTTGGCTGAAAGACCAAACAGATCACTGCAGCATTACCCATAATCCCCTCTGTTTAAGCCCTGTTTCCAAAGTGCTGATTCTCTGTCTGTTACTTTAGATGAAAATAAGGAGCCCCTCCCCACGCCCCTCTGAGAGAGATTTGGTTACAAAGAACACAATGGAGCTCTAGGAGGAGATTCAGGTGATAATGGGGGGGGGGGTTACCTTGGTTGCTGATTGGCTAATGGTTACACAAGACAAAACATCGTTATGACATCATAAAGTGGCCAAAATCTGATCAGCTCATTTTCAGACAGGTTTTTGTAAAAAAAAAAGAGAGAGAATCTTTTTTCCTGAAACTTTCAGAGTCTCTTTCCACAGAGGGGACACATGTTGATGTAGAAGAGACATGAAGAAGAGGGGACACATGTTGATGTAGAAGAGACATGAAGAAGAGGATTTTGCATAGTAGGTGACCTTTAAGAGGGTCTGTAACAAATACATTGTGTATAGTCTGTAGAAAACTATTTATAGGCCGGGACTAACATGTAATAATTTGTAATGATTGTGACAGAGTCTTACCTTGGGCAGCTCCCATTCTGACCGTGACCCGTCGGCACTGTAGTAATACGGTCGGCCCTGCTCATCCACGTGTTTTAACCACTGAGGTGAACACAGACGGAGGAAACACAACACATTCGGGTAAGTTCTGAACTGCTTATGCAGAATTAATAATTATGTTTCTTGTGGATCTGCAGGTGTGATTTAAAGTGTTTCTGGATAATGAAAAAAATGGCTTTGATAGTAGAACTAAGATTTTTTACTGGAGTAAAAAGAGCAATACAACATTTTGAAATACAGGTACAAGTCCTGCAATTACCATGTTACTTTAGTAACAGCACAAAACTATTAGGAGGAAAATAAACTTAAAGGACCAAAAGTACTCATTTTGAGTTTTTTCTTTTTTTAACCTATAGTAATATGTCCATGTTTAGTTATTAGTTGTTTTGTATTAGCTAATAATCTTAATCTGCTAAATCATAAAAACTATCAGATCAGAGTAGAGGATTATAAAATGCAATATTGGCTTTGAGTGGAAGTGAAAATACTCAGGTAAAGTACAAGTACCTCCAAATTGTACGTATGTATGTGTAGTACTTTCCACCACTGATTAGGGAAAATAGCAGAAAGCAGTTTGTTGTATTAACCCTTTCTCTTGTAGTTGTATTCATTCTCGTTATAAAATATGAGGACATGTGAGTGTTAATGAACCAGAGCCCGCCTCCACATGCACTCCCAGAGAGATATCACCACATGAAGAGACAGCAGAGAGACGACGGTACCTTCTCGTTGGTATGGTCGCTGACATACAGCGTGTGGCCGTGCTCGTCCATCTCCTCCGACCAACCACGCGGCGGCGAGCCATACTGACTGTCTGATTGGCTAGAGTAGGTACTGAAGTCCTCCGATGACAGAGGCTGCAGCCGACCGATGGAGAGCGACAGGAAGGGAAGGAAAGACGGCGAGAGCGAGAGGGGAGTGGTCTACCGTCAGTGCAGAGAGAGGAGAGAAGTCTTTCACCAGGGAGGAACAGAGGACAGAGGACAGCCATGCACCCACAAATCATCAGAAACCCCCCACACCACTTCATTAGAGCACAGAGAATCAGAAAAACAAGCTAAAATGTGCAGGCTTCATTTTTGACATGTGGTGCACATCTGATGCTGTTTGTATGACACAGAGTATTAAAGGAGCAGAGGCGGCTTTCTGCCTGTAGGGGGCAGTGTGCTTCATCTAATTAACTCTAAATCAGAGGTGACTCCCAGGTGATTCAGGCTAATCTGTCAGGACAAGGTGTGTGTTTGTGTGGGAGTTCATCAAAGGGAACCATTCACTGGTCATCAAATCAATCTAAAATGTGATTATCTCCACTCTGCACTGTTTGCATTATTCTGGTGTGTAATCAAGCTTTTTGTCAAACAGACCAAAACACCTTTAATTTCCTTTTTAGTATTTTGTCACCTCTAACAACCTGTCAGCGCAGAGCAATTTGCAAACGCTTCATTGCCTACACTCTGCCAACTGTGTTGTTCATCACAAGGCAAGTCAGACGTTACCATGGAGAGCACTTTTTGGGGAAGTACAAAGAATCCTAGAACCAGAAGTGTTGACACATTACTCTTTGACTCAGGCTGCTTCCACTAAGTCAATATAAGCAAGTGTGTGTGTGTGTGTGTGTGTGTGTGTGTGTGTGTGTGTGTGTGTGTGTGTGTGTGTTCTTGTAATTCTATACTTGTGAGAACCTGTTTGAGTTTAGAGTGACAACATCTTTGGTCATGTAATTAAGGGGTTGGAAAATGAATGGATTCAATCTAAGAATTAAGTTTGACTTTATAATAAAGATTAAGAGCCAAACTTTTAGTCAAACACCTTTGTTATGAAGCTTCAGTCGGACAGGAGGGGTCAGAGTCACACAGGTGAGTCCCAGCTGCTTTCTGCAGGGACTCACCAGGTGTTCAACGTGTGTGAGATGACAAGGTTACAAGAGCTTTGCTTTGCACACGCGTTATCTCCACATTTCTGACATTCCTGCATCCTCTACTGTTGGTGTTTGCACACAAGAAATGAGGGTACCTGTGTGTTATCTGTTAAAACAACATTTTCATCTCTTAAGCTTTTTTTAAAACTCTTTTTATCTTTATCGTTTGAATACCGGCATCATTATAAGCCCCCACTTGGGCTGATATGGAGGATCAAATCAGTATGTCTGAATAACTTTGACAATAAACCTTAATATTGATATTGTGACGATATTCATTATTGTTGCTTTCACAAATATTCACACCATGAGAGTTTTGATAAATTATCTTTGGTCATGAATGTAATGATTAAAGGAGTAAATGCAAATATTAGAACAGCTTCAAAGGTCTGTTGGTTTTCTACTTATCGCAGCCTTTGAAATGCGGAAATAATGACAACTCACCTGACCTCAGATATGAGTTATTTCAACTTGTATTCTCCAATTTGTTAATGGAAACACTCTTTATGTGAACTGTTTATTAAAGAATAATTGATTTGCTGCGATTGTAATGAAACTTACCAGCAATAGTGACCTTTTTGATGTATCTGACCGCCTTTGCAACTACCACTTGATAACTTAGGATAATGAGTGTACTTCAGACAGTTGTAAGTAATGTCTTTGTGTGTGTGTGTGTGTGTGTGTGTGTGTGTGTGTGTGTGTGTGTGTGTGTGTGTGTGTGTATACGCCATATACAGTATGTTTAGTGTGATGCTGTTGTTCCACATGTATTGTTGACATGTATGTTAAGTGTTGATTTTAGTTTGGTTCGGCGACACTATGTTTAAAATGTGGTCATGCCAATAAAGCCCCTTTGTATTGTGTGTGTGTTTTGTGTACCTCGGAGCTCTCTCCGGCGCTCAGGCTCTCTCCTCTGGAGCTCCCGGTGCTCGGCTCTCTGGCTCGGGGGGGCTTCCAGGTCCTCTCCTGGGTGGAGCGGTTGTAGTAGAAGTGGCGGCCGTTCTGGTCCTTGTAGGTCTCCCAGTCTCCCAGCACGTGGAG